ATAGTATCCGTTAGCTTGGCTAGCTAGCACCAGATGCTAACCACAACGATCTCCGGTAGATACCCACCGGTGCGCGAGCTCTCTCTCTCTCGCTCGCTTGCGCACGCACACAAAATGGCTCGTGCCACACACACACAGAGCAGAGCTTGAATGAAACACAGAGACCCAGAAGTAAGCTACTTGTACTCACGAGGCCTATTATGTGCAGAATCCCTCTCGCTTTCAGTTGGTTTTGATTGAGTGTCCACATGTGGACGTTTAAGGACTAAAAAACGATCCATTTGTCACTTTGCTGTTAGCAAATAATGTGGGGCTCCAGCTAACAGGAAGTCACTCAAGTGTCACAAAGTAATTTAGCCTATGGGTAGCAGTGGCGTTTTCTCCCGGAGGCCAAGGGAAGCCAGGCTTCCCCTGTTTTTTCGGATTGTAGTTATAATTTAAATAAATAAATAAAAACACTTTGTTTTGTTTCGATAATTCTCCTTTGCTGTGTGTTGCTGCCGGCCCGTCTCTCCCCCATTCTCATTGAGTATTTTACAAAGAGTGAAACAAACAGCGCCCCTCTAGATGTTATGGTGAAACAGTAGATTGCACTCTGTTGCGAGAGGAGGCCAGCCAAATCTGGCTTCACGTGGTGAAAAAAAATTGAGGGATTGACCAATCAGATGAGGCCCACGTGATGCTCCTGCCAACCAGTGATTGGTCAGGGCCATGCCAAGGGAAGCCAGCCGCCTCTTGCTTCCCTTCAGAGGCGGCTGGCGGCTGGCGATTTGATTGGACACTGCCATCCAATCAAATCACATCAACATCAGTTGTAATACTGTAACTGTCATCACCGCCGTTAGAAATTATCAAGCAAATGAAGCATTATGGAGGGTGGAGATTTGGCTTCTTAATCAAACATAACTTTACTAAACTTCAGCTACAGCAGCAACTAAAAATTAAATCAGATGACAGGCCAATGCCCGCACTCGAGCTGTGTGTACACCAGAATCGGACGTTCAATGAGGACAATTATGTCCGCACGGAGTGGCTAACTGGAAGCGCTAAACTTCAGCGTCTATTTTGCTGGCCATGTCTTCTTTTTGACAAGGATTCGTGCACCCTGAACAATCCTTGGGCAACTTCAGGATTCATCGACCTTGCCAACCTGTCACGGGCAATTGAGAGGCAGGGTAAATCCAAAAATCACATAGATTGTGTGATTGTCTGCATACATTAATAAGTAAAATGCTTAAATTAATAAGGAGAGAGTTTCAGCTGGAGAGTGCGTAGATTTAATTTAATAAAAATAATAATAATTTTCGGAAAAAAAAACAAAAACACATACACTGAACAAAAATATAAACGCAACACTTTTGTTTTTGCTCCCATTTTTTACGAGATGAACTCAAAGATCTAAAACATTTTCTATATACACAAAATAACCATTTCTCTCAAATATTGTTCAAAAATCTGAAAAAATCTGTGATAGTGAGCACTTCTCCTTTGCCGAGATAATCCATCCCACCTCACAGGTGTGGCATATCAAGATGCTGATTAGACAGCATGATTATTGCACAGGTGTGCCTTAGGCTGGCCACAATAAAAGGCCACTCTGAAACGTGCATTTTTGCTTTATTGGGGGGGGTCTGGGGGTGTCCGAAAACCAGTCAGTATCTGGTGTGAGGGGTAGGGTTAGGGTAATGTTGTGAATCGAGTGGCCTGTGTTCGTCGTCCATAACATACGCCTGCCCATACCATAACCCCACCACCACCATGGGCCACTCGATTCACAACATTACCCTACCCCTACCCCTCACACCAGATACTGCCTGGTTTTCACAAAATGGAAGGCGTGCAGCCTGAGCAAACAAAAGGACCAAAAGGGCACAGGTTGACAAATAACCAAACAAAGGGAGGACTCTTAAAAAGGAGTCTGTGTACATACAAAGAAATAACCCTCACACTAAATAAGGAACTAAACAAAACCTCACTTTAAAAGTGGTACAGACTAACACCGGGAATTTATACAAAACACACAGCTAAACTAAAGGCAACAGTCACAAAACCCTAAACTACTCTAAACACTATATAAACTACTCTAACCTCTAACTAAGCTACTCTAGGCACTACTAATACACAATATCACACTACCTGACACAGACCACACAAGTTAACCACAGCACGAGAGTAAGTAGCGAGAGGCGTCTGTCCCACAATACAGAGCCTCCAGAGTGGTGATAGTCCGCGGCCTTTGTACTCCTCCCCAGCAGGTGTGCGCCGGCTGTGCGCTGCGATTGGACGACGTCAATCCAATCCCCATCTTCAGAGGCGGACCAGGGGATGGGCAGCTAATGATGTTGGGGCAACCACACAGCTCATTTGCATAATCACACACACGCCCACAGCTGCAAACAATCCCAGCAGATTAGCAGACAAACAGCAACCGTAACAGTGTGTGTGTGTGTGTGTGTGTGTGTGTGTGTGTGTGTGTGTGTGTGTGTGTGTGTGTGTGTGTTTGTGTGTGTTTGGTACAGAAGTTAGCAGCAGTTAGCGTTATGGTGTGACTGTTCACACCCTGCTGTTGTGTGATTTAGTGCAGTAATAACATGCTCATTCAAAGTGAGGAGGAAGATTTCTCCTCAACATCCCAGAGTGTTGTGAATGTATCATCAGATTTTCTTCCTTATTTTCTTCAAATAAATAAATCAACTGTTACATGTCATATTTCCATAGAAATCAATAGCAGTACCTACATAATACAATCACAAATAACTAGGTAACAGTTCTTGCTTAAAATATATTCCCAAAAAATTGCAAAAAGTCACAAATTAAACATTTCAAATATCATTTCAAATGTTCTAATATTTAAAAAAATGTAGTTTATAAATGTAGTATATACAATATTGTATACTGACGTATTAATAAACTATAATAATATATAAGTGTAGTGTATTACTAACTAACGAACTGTATTCATACTGTAATGTAAAATGTTTCCTTGAAATACCCTTTACAGGAAATACAAATTGACAACAATCAGAAATCAGGAGGGGGTCTTATTAGAATTCCTGGGGTCAGCAGCCTTGGGATGCCTTCAACAATAACTAAAAAGCTAAATGTAATATCTGAATAAAAGGAAATCACACACACAAAGGAGCTTTGAAAGGAGTTGCTTTAGCTGCGGTTGTGTTTCAATGTATTTGGAACATTGCATAAAGGCCTATACTTCTTTTTTTAATGCAATTAGAAGTGAAAGAAAACATCTACAGCACTTTTAGGATGGGCAATGGACAAAAGGCCAATGTTTTCCTTTTTAAGGGAAAGTCCTTGGGTCTTTTTAAGTGCATCACTCCGCTAATTAAATATTATATGTTTAACGAAAAATGCACTTTGAAAGCAGCTGGATTGTTTGACTCAAAGACACGGGTGCAGCCTTGATGAGAGGAACTGTGTATGACCGTGAGGAGGTAAAGAACATCATTGTTGCAGCCCTCCATAACCCTTTCTGCTGATTTACAATGACTTCCCTCTTTGTGCCGCGCTCAAAAACACAGTTATGCAGAGGAGCGGACTCATTGACATATCTGCTGCCTACATTTATTTTATTTTTTTACAGTCTGATGTGTTTGTTTCTTCGACTGCACACCAACGTATTGTCCTCAGTTTGAAAGGGTGTGAAGCACTAAAGCCCATTAGTTTGTTTATGAGACAAACAGAACAGCCTTGGGTTAAAACAACAGGAAGTTTGACGCTTATCTCAATTCCTCTCAAGTAGAAGTATATAATATAAAAAAAATTGTATGTAACCATTTTTTTTTTTTTAAATGACTGCTTTACCTGATTTGGCTTATTGATCAAAGTTGTTTTTCTTTAAAAAAAAAAACGTTGTGTTTAATCTAATAAATCGATTTTATGTTAGGTAGTTTCTTAATTGAACCCCTTTCTTTATGGGGTGTGACGACCCCTCCACACCACTAGGCGTTCCGTGGTCTCTCTCTCTCTCTGTTCACAGGATCCGGTGCTGTGGGGCCGGCGTTTACCTGATGAGCTGCACCTGGGTCGAAAAGGCCTACAAGAAGAGAGCCCAGCCGGACACGTCTCTCTCTCACTCCTCTGGGCACTCTCTCCGTGCCAGCCTCGGGGACCTGTTGCTGGTTCCATTGACTTATGTGTTTATTAAGAATAAACTATTGTTATATTCTTACCCCTCGTCTCGCCTCCCTGCTTTTTGTTGCAGCCCAGGAGCCGGGTTGTAACACTGCTCACAGTTTCTCCACTTATGTAATTCTAATATGTTTTGGAGAGGAAACACAATGATGCATTGGTTATGTGATTACGATGCAAAATCAGCACCCTGTTTAAGCTGTTTTGGCAATTTAATCTTACTTTTAAGACTACATGGTTTCAAAAATTACATTGTGAGTATCTACTTCTATTGCAAATGGGGCAAACTATGATTCAAGAACACTACTTAGGTGAGACTTCTAAAGAGACCCTATTTTGCTTTTGGGGTTTTTCCCTTTCCTGTAGTGTGTTATATAAGTTCTAGTCTAAAATCCCAAAGTTTCTCTCCCCGCCCCATCCTGAAACGTCTCCATCGGACAATGAGCATGATACATCCTCTTTAACTCTCCCTTGTTTCCCTGAATTATCTGCTCCTGGCAAGTTAAGCCTTATTAAGGACTTCAGGATTATGTTTGGGCAACTCAAAGCACTTGGTGAAGGTTCTGGAAATATTGTGGTGACCGCGAATGCATCTCAAGGGTGGGCAATCGAAGGACTTGGTTATGTTTCGAGAAGGTTGTGGTCTTGATATTGAATGTGGATTTAAAGGATTAGAGAGTAGAACTAATGAGCATTGTCTGCCATCCAATATATTATAAGTTCTCAATACTTCACATTGGAGCAACATGTTGCCAGAGAACATCATCCGTGTGGAATTACTTCAGTGTGTTAAGATGAATTAACTTGATTTACGTTTCAAATGTATTTATTCAGGAAATAAATCTACAAAATGTTTTACAATGTAGTTCCCCATTTATTGAAATCTTCTTAAGACATTTCTAAATCATAGAATTACAGTAACACTGTTCATTAGCATCATACATTGATCTTCATTTGAAAGACACATCTGGTCAAATGAACAATGTACAACAGATAGGGCGATGATACCTGATGTTCCCATAGTCTCAGGCTATAGTGTAAAAAGCAATTAATACATTATTAACATTATTGTAGTTACATTGTTCTCTACAATAACATGTCAGCTGCAGTTCATTGAGATATATCAGTGTATTTCAGTTGATTATAGTCAGACGTATAGTGAAGTAGCACGAGTACACCATTAGTGTGTTTGCCTTGTTCAAGCAACAGGACTTTAATAAGCACAAATGCTTTTTTCTAACATTTTGTTACTCTTTTTCTTGTCTTTTAAAATCAGGACACATGTGTGACTTCATATACTGCTCAACAGACATTACAACATCTGAATAAAATACAATTTAACATTGTCTTTATAGGCTGTTTTAAGACTGTTAAAGTAGATGTTTGCAGTGTAGGATCTGTCAATAATCTTAAAGGTAAATAAAAGCAGCTTAAAACATATCCCTAGAGATAATGCATTAAAATAATGTGCTGCTTGTTACAGTAAACAAGTGAAAAGGAAACAGATCTGTGGCGCACACTGGATAGAAATGAAAAATAACCCTCTTGTGGTTTTTATGATCAGGCTCAGTTTTTGTGGCTTCATGCGCCTCGGCTAAATGTGGGAACAATTAATGTGTTTCTGGCAGCGTCTTCATCTCAGGTCGCCAAAAAGGCTTATCGGCATACTGACTGTGGTAAAAACAAATATTTTAAAAATCACAGTGATAGCAAAACATTTTATCTCAAACTCCAGCCTGAAATAAACAGTGAGGAGCACGTCACTACGGTCGTTCTCTGCAGACCTTTCCAGGGATTAAAGTACGGTATGTCAGGACTTTGGTCACTTCTTCTGGGATTTACAGAGGAAAGAAACGGTACGCCTGATTTGAAAAAAGGTTGGTCCGTTATCCTTTAATTCTAGATAATTTGCAATCCAAAGTATTCTTCTTTCTTCTCAAAGTAGTAGTTGAGTCGTGCGGTGGCATATCTGGAGGAGAGAAGAAAGAAATGATCAGGAAACACAACCTTTTTGTATCCAAGATCTTAGTCCTTGGATGAATATGCTTTTGTGTGTGACAAATACTCTTGTTGTATTATTATAATCGTCCTGTCTCACTTTATCTTTCCTTTTTGATTTAAATACAATAGAAAAAAACAAATAAATCTATTTTTAAAGAGGCACTTGCTTTTTGAGGTTGTCCCTTTCCTGTAGACCAGGGGTCGGCAACCCGCGGCCCTTTAAGCCCTCTGCTCTGGCTCCCTTGAGCTTAGACAAAAATAAGAAGGAAATAAAATAAAAGTATTTGTAGGACTATTTATATTTTAAATATGTTTCGTATCTTGTATTTTGAGGTGATACTGTGACACATAAATAAAAAACAAAACGGTTTTAATTAGGTCAACTAAAATATGCGTCACATCCTGCTACGGTCCCACGCCAGCGCCTTTTCTTGGAGGCGAATAACCTGACCCCCGGCTCGATGAGCGAACTATGGATAAATCAAAGAAAAGTACCGGAGGAACACAGGATTTAATTCTGTGTGGACAGAGTTATATGCTTTCACAGCAAACAATGCTGGTTTACCGGTATGTTTGATATGAAGAGAGAAGTTGTCAACGGTGGTGCAGCCTTTACGTATCGAGGAACAACACGGGAGAGGAAGACAGCTGACGATCTTCAGTCATAATTCAATGGGGTATGTAATTTATTTCAGAAATCACTTTTTGTTATATTCCATGGAATGCTCTTAACGTCCCGATAGCAATGAATATTTTAAATGCTTTGACAATAAATACATACAAAAATTAATCTCTGGAAGTCATAGCGCTGTAAAAAGCACGACCAATCATCTGAGCCGGCCCGGCTAAAATAACTGGATGGCCTACCTGCCTGTCAGCCTTCCATCTGTGCACAAATGTATCTCGTGCCCTCATTGGTCATGTTCGTGTGTGTTGGAGGAGGGGCTCTGTGAGGAAGTCTGAAGGAAGAGGCAGATTTTTTCTGGTTGTGTACTTTCAAATTCTAGCGCACTCGAGCTGGTTTCTCCATTCTTACCTACCTACCTTTAACTCTTTTTAGGGTGCAGCTATATGTTTTATTTATTTCAAAGTGTGCCCAAGTGCTGTGTTTAATTTATTTTAAAGTAGGCCTGTGTATTATTTGTAATTCTCCTTATAAGAGTTATTTGTTTCTTATTAGAGGTTAACAGTTTTATATCTTGTAATAAATAGCCTAATAAATGCAAAAAAACTGTAGTTTTTGTCTGATATAACAATAAATAACTATGAAATATGTTTTGCGGCTCCAGACAAAAAAATGTTTTGGAAAAAGGAGCAAAATGGCTCTTTTGGTCAAAAAGGTTGCAGACCCCTGCTGTGACGCTTCCCATTCACTTTGAATGGGGTGACGTCATGCTTTGCCGAACTGCATTGTGGTTCCGTCGCGTCGCTTTGCCTCCGTTGCCCGCTTCGAAAGTTGAGAAAAGTTCAACTTTTCAAGCGTTGACGGAAGCGCCAGCCAATCAAATCATATACCAGTACAAGCGCTAGCCAATCAAACCGCTTGCTTGTGTGTCCGGGGTGGCAGATTAATGTGATTGGTTGTTGGTCGCGCGCCAGACACGCCCACCAGCAAGCTTCAACGCGACGGAACCGCCTGGACGATACGTTACACTCCTTTGTTTACTTCCGTAACATAGTGACATCACTATGTAAAACTTGCGCTTCTATTGGCTTGCGCTCCAACACATTGTACGTGATAGGCAAAGGGGCGGGACATCTCTAGCTGGTTGACCAATCACAACAGAGCTAACCAATCAGAGCAGACTGGGCTCTGGTTTCAGACAGAGGGTGAAAAGAGGTGCTGCAGCACAGGCAGTATGAGAAAAATAAAGAGCTTTTTGAACATTAAAGCGTGGAGACATGTCCCAGTAGAGACACTAAATACAAATAATGGGGCGGGACCTCTCCAAGCGGTTGACCAATCAGAAGATTCTTAGTTGGCCTTAAAACAAAAAAAATAAGCTGCAGTCAGTCGCCTTGACATCTGGAGTTACTAAAGTCTCTCCTCACATCTTTGTCATCTCTGTCCTCAGATCTTTTCAGAATGTTTTCATACACAGTAACACCTGTGAGTGGAACAAAAGTAAGGCTCTTTCTATTCTCTAAGACATTACTCTCAGTTTGAATTGCCAATAAATTCTACATTTGCAAAATAAATGGAATATGTGCATAAAAGTTTTGCTTCAACAGCCTTTCATTTTCTGCTTTGAGAATCATTCGGAAACTTCCTTCATGAATTGTATCCGAGTAAAAAAGGCTCTGTCCATTTCAAAAGGTGGTAGTTTTAAAAAACAATTGAAATGTTACTATTTTTACTCAAATATGAGGATGTATTCTTTTGGCCAGGTTGAGTAAAAGGAATAATAGATCAAGGATGAATTGATTTGAAGTGATCGGACACAGATACATTATTAGATCTGGACAACGCTTGTAAGAGTTTACGCTGCAGATCTTTATCAAGGTTATAAATGCTACTTTTACTACGTTGCCCTTGTTGAAAAGTTGACTATTTAAAACCACACTGTTGTACTTGATAAAAGTATAATAATATAATAATATACTGTAGGAAAGCGAATATCAGAGGTCTGCTTTAAATCCAGTGTAAGAAAGAAGTATCAATGCACTTCAGGTCAAAAGAAGACACTCAAGAAATTTCTGTCAACACATTCATAGAAATATCACCTTCCAACATGAATGAGACTCGTTTGGGTATAAATATGAATTAAGACCATTTAAAGTGGACCTATCATTAGAGATGTCCCGATCCCCGGATCGGATCGGCCCCTGATACTGGGTTTTAAGGTGGATCGGGATCGGCAGATCCAATTAAATGTCATGGCCGATCCATAATTAATATTTCCCATGATTCCATTGTTACGTTGTTACGTTGTTTGTCGTTGTTGTTCTATTGCAGGCCTATTCAAATGGCGGCCCGCGGGCCAGATGCGGCCCAGAACCAACTCCCGAGTGGCCCAGCCTCCCGTAGCCAAATTCCTACACTAGTACAGACCATGAACACAACACTCCGCGTTGCATAGAAACCACTAAACTATGGAAAGCCTAAAGTGCCACTATTCGCCACTATTCGCCCGTTTAAAACGCGAAAAACGCGCGTTTTATACGCGTCAAAAACGCGCGTTTATTTGGTAACAAAACGCGCGTTTTATACGCGTCAACAACGCACGTTTATTTGGTAAAAAAAGCGTTTTTGACGCGTATAAAACGCGCGTTTTGTTACCAAATAAACGCGCGTTTTTTACGCGTTTTTGACGCGTTTTTGACGCGTTTTTGACGCGTATAAAACGCGCGTTTTACGCGCGAAAAACGCACGTTTTTTACAAAAAACGCGCGTTTTAAATGGGCGAATAGTGGCACTTTAGGCTTTCCATACAGGAGCAGCGCACTAACGGGCCAGCAAAGTTTTGGAGTGATGTAAAAAAACAGCAGTTCCCTAATGTTCAGAAAGTAGCGATATGTGTGCTCAGTATGTTTGGATCAACATACACATGTGAATCAAGCTTTTCACACATGAACTAAAAGAAAAGTAGCACTCGCTGCTCCCTGACTGACAGCACTCTTCACCAATGTCTTAGGATTGCATTGACATCCTATGAGCCAAAAATCACTGCTCTTGTTCAAAACTAAAAATGTCACTTCTCCCATTGAGAAAGTCAGCGATGACAAATCACAAATGGGGTGATAGTAAGCACCTAGTTTACTATAGTAGACGTGTAGTGTAGTATTCATTCATAGTTACCCTTATCCCTTGTTATGGGTTTGTATACCCTGTGGGGACTCGATACCTCCACTAGGCGGGTTTGACAGTTATTTTTGTATTCATTTAAATGAACTTTGTAATGTGTCAAATGTGACCAAAATGTATGATTTTTTTGTTATTACTTGAAAAGTGAAAAAATAGTATTGCTATAGTAGGCTACTACCTCTTTTTGTTACATTGGAGCTCTTTAACTGTTTGTTAATGCACTTTTTGATGTGCATGTGTCATTATGTATCCAATTTGATTTTGTATGTGAGGACATTTATTAAGACTGCTATTATTGTATTCAGTTAAATGCACTTTGTGATGTGCCTGGTTAAAAAAAAAAAAACCCTGAATATTTGACTTCTAAAGCAAACAAATGTAATACTACAACTGTGCATTTTTTTCAGATTCTGTTAAATTAATGCTAATTTGTTGTGTTTTTATGCACTTTTTGACGTACCTTTGTTAGATGAACAATGAATAAAAATGGCATGTTTTTCATCGCAGTAATATGTGTTGGTTTAAAATGTGTCATTACCCGCTTTTTACAGGCTGCTGAATGTCTGGCCCAGCTGAATTTTGTAGTTATAAAATCTGGCCCAACTGAATGTGTAATTGAATAGCCCTGTTCTATTGCATCAGCCGCCATTATCGAGTTGGAAAAGTGGAACGGACACATATCGTTAGCTAGTTAAAATGTCTGCAGTTTGGCATAATTTTAAAATAACTACAAGTGAGTCGCCGACTGCGACATGCAAAGTCTGTGGTGTGGAAGTCTCACGAGGTGGTGCTAACAGGGTCTCCTACAACACCACAAACCTAATAAAACATCTTAAAAAGCACCACCCCGACGAACACGCCGCCTACTGTAAAGCGACAGCGTCTGCGACTGATGGACTCCATCAGCAAACACTGCGGGACAGCTTGAAACGAAAGGCTTTACTTCCTCGAGACTCCGAGAGATTTCGCAAGATTACTGAGCTGATTGTGGAGTGCATAGCAGGGGACGACCAGCCAATTTCACTTGTGGAAAACTCCGGTTTTTGTCATCTAATAAATTATTTGGGTGCCTGTCTATTTCTTAATGTATACGAAATTAAATGCTGTTTGCCAACACAAAAAGTGATATCGGAAATCGGTATCGGAAAACCGGTATCGGGAAA